GACGGCTGATTGACCGCGGCCTCGAACCCGTCGGCTAGGGCACCGACGCAGTCTGACTCGAGAAGGTGGATACGAGCAACCAGATCTAAACGGGTGCGCAAAGAGGCTATCTCCTCCGGCTCATCATCAGCAGGAAGCATAGCAGCTTTTAGCTCCTCGATTTCCTTGGACAACCGTTGGTTGTCGCTCTCCAACCGTTCCTTGTCAAGTTGGAGGCAATCCCTCTCCTTGGAAGCCTTCGCGGTCTTCTCTTTCTCCCTCGACAGCAGGTTGGCCTGCTCATGAAACATCTCCTCGGACCGCTCGAGGGCCGCTTTCAACTTGCGAGATTTGGCAGCGAAAGCAGCCTTCTCCAATTCCAACTCCCTAACACGGTCCGAGGAATCTGATCCTTCCCCTGCAAGGACCACAGCCATCTCGGCCATCTTCACTACCCCGACCATACTGGCGGCGAGTTGTTTCCTATGGCCTTATTCATCAAGCCGTTTAATAATGTCGGCCTCGTTATCAGACACTGTTATAGGAAACCCCTCGAAGAAATCCTTTTTCGCAAAACAGAGCGGTAAGCCAAAGGCCCAGGCAGCTACGGGCTCATCGCCAGTTTCCGCCCTGCTCTCTGTCCGACCCCTCTTCCTCCTGACCATCTCGGTCTGTTGCTCGATATTGGGAGAGCCCGAGGACCCAATTGACGCATCTCCGCCCGAACCAGCAGGCGGGCCCATCCGCGTGGCCTGCGGTGCTCGCACCAGCCTCTTGCTTATCTTTTTATCTTGGGTCAACTTCAACATCCTCTCTCGACGTTCCGCCATGTGACCTGCAAAGAAGAGCGAACCTGGGTTAGTTACAAGCGATCAAAGGCAATGAAAATGGAATAAAACAATAAGAGCAGAAGCAAGAAACCTAGGAAATCTACGGCCTGCCCATAGGATTGGCATTCAATGAGCACCTTGGTATTGATAGGGCGCGCCTCGAACGTCGGGTAGCCATCCTCATCAAGAATGTCATCCCCTTCCCTCGTTACCCACCGGGCGGGGAAAAAGCTATCGACAAACTTACAGAGGACAACATAGGCCTCCTCATCCTCGACACTCATGCTCCCCGCAAGGGTATGATAGTGCCCGGTGCCATGCTCATAATGACCCGAGCACCAATGGATCGGGAACTTGGAGATCCGCCCGACTGCGGGACTACCCTCAGCATCCACAAGGGGCTCCCCGTCCCCATCGACCACCACAGTTTCCGATTCGAATAGAGAATCCAGGGAAGTTTGGGTGGCCGGCTGCAACACGTACCATTTATCTTTGAAATCCCTCACCGAGTCCATGTACATCCTGAACAGCCTCTTCGACTGTTTTAGGGATACCCAGCTGTGTTTGCCTCCTCGAGACTGACGTTGCAGATGAAAAACCCTGAAGAAAAGGGGAATCGCCGCCCCAATTCTCAAGAAACGGAAGGTCAGCTCGAACGCCCGGAGGAAGGCGATCGCATTGGGGTGGAGCTGCGAGGGGGCCAGGTTCAGATGACTGAACACCCCGACTTGGAAGTCACTAAAAGGAAGCCTAAGACTGATATCCCTGAATATAATCTCGTACATAGGGAATGCATATTCGGTGAACTCCGAACAGATACGGGCATCAATCGTTGGCCTCATTATTTTGAAATTCCTTTGAAATCCTTCCTGAGTGCCGCCATGCTCGACGACGGAATAAGCTCGCCGACTACGATGGCAGTATGCCGAGGCAATTCCCCGGAGCTCAGCGTCCACCCAGTCTAGCGTAGGGTCGGCGATTGTGTCGACCAAGGTATCATTCTCTTCTGTACTTGTTTCCTCGACGTCATTATGTCTCGAGGACTCCGGATTATCGACCATTTACCTGCAAAGTACAGGAAATCGATGAATTCGACAGCAAATCCACGCGCTCGCCACAAAGGCAGGGAGAAGTACGCAACACTCAGATTGAAACTAAATCCAAACACTGAAACCCCAGCTCCGACCATGCATCAATCATGGATAGCACGAGCGTAACATGAACGCCCCGGGCGAATCGTGAATCACGCGACCAAGTTCCTGACTTCGCCTACCCGATACTGGAATACCGCGAGGAGACTACCCTACATACTTCCTAAAAGGATGAATATCCCGGCCAGTTCATGAATATGCCGACCAAACGCATGAGTTTCACGGGCAATATCATGAATTATATGCCTAAAACTATGAGTGTCTCGAGCACAGTCATGAATCAGGTTCCTAGCGCGCTTAAATCTACCGGGCATTACTTCCAGAAATAGGTTTTTAGCATAAAAAATGACGAAAAAGGTATCTACAACACAAAGAAGCAGGAAGAAGAGACACTTACTTGGAAGAAGAGGAGTACGAACGACGGTAGTGGGAGTAATCAATGGCGAACGGTGCGGCAGTCTCACGGTATTACGGGAATCAACGGTTGTGGAAACAGAGAAAGAATGAGGAGCGTGAAGAGGAGAAACAGATTATGGGCTTAAGGGACCTATTTATAGAGATGACGTTGAATGTGAAGCGTCACACCGGGGAGACACGAACTTCCCCCATCCTCGACACCTACCCACCTAGGCAATGATGACCCTATTTACTAGGGCGGCGTTACAATTCCCAAGGACTGTGCCACGTGTCTGACAGAAGCGGCCCATATATCCCCGCGAGAGTTCCTCGAGCACGCTTCGAAAGGAAAAGCCCTGGGTCAGGCATCAGGTCCCCGCGGAGAAAGCAAGCTGAGATCAAGTCATAACTCCTGCGCTAGGAACAACGACTTGGGGGGCTCCTGTTCTGGACTGGGCCCGCCTTGGCCCAAAGTACAAATAAAGGCCCAGATCCAGGAAGCTCCTCGAGGAGTGCTCATAATCAGATCGTCCCGAACGTTCCCGACCATAGACCATAGCGGAAATGCCCGCTGTTACCAGCAACGAGAAGCATCCCCGACCAAGGACACTCCAGCTCGAGTCTCGCTCGAGCATCATCCCCGTAGGGCATATTCTGCCCCCTCCGAACGCCATGGGATCCTTAAAGCCCCGAAAAGACCGCGTCTTCCCTCATTCTTCGCAGAGCACCACCCAGGAAAGGGACCACGTGCGGGTCCCCACTACACACGTAGAACCTGGCAATTCCTTTATTGGGCAAGTTCTGGTCGGCCCAATGAGGGGACCTTGGTCCAGCGCTGGGGGCTATAAATACCTTATGTTCCAAGAGGGTCAAGTATTCATTCGTTACACACCTACATACTGTTTGTCTGCCCATTCCGTCTCTCATTTTATCATCGGAGTGTCTTGCAGATACCCCCATCTCATTCAAATCCAGTTTGAGCCAGTTGTGACGGTCCAAATCTGATCTGACAGATCACTTTATATTTTTTTTTTTCCATTTGGTAGAAAAAAATCAAGGATGAAACACTTACTAACAATTATCTCATTTAAATCATATAAAGAAATCTCGTTAAAGAAAAAAGAGTGCATTGAAAACAAAACAGAGAAAAAAATTAATGGAATCCAAATTAGTAATCCACATCAATTTTTATATAATTCATATTCAAAATACAATTTGTTAAGAGAAAAATAATTATGCAACGATAGGGTATAAAAAAAAATTATAATGTCAAACAATGACAATATATCATTTTTGCCATGAATCAGGAATTTAAAATTACAATATAACTTAGTTGGATCCATAATCACAATTTACACTATTAATACGTCTTCATTAAACTCATTTGTTAAACTATTCTACCAAATAAAATCTGTATGACTAAAATTTGCACAAATATCTCCTTCTATGCTATAAACAATAACTATAATAAAAATATAAATTATTATATATTAATAAATTTAACACTATTACTAAATTTCTTAATTCATGTGATTTTCTAGAAGCAAAAATAGTATAAATTTAAAATATATAAATATTACTATTATTTTTTTTATGTAATTTAAATGTCTAAACAGATCACACGTTTTATATAAAAAAATTTAATATTAATATTAAAATTAAATAAACATTTAATTCTTCAATTCAAAACTTCAAAAGAAAAATATTAAATAATTCCTACTAAATAGGGTGCGTCTTAAAACAAGTCATTGAAATGAAGCAGAAGTACTTTGAAATTAGTAACTAAGTCAAACACCTATCATTATAAATATTACTATTTTTTTATTATATAATTTAAATACCTAAATAGATTACACGTGACATTTTATATAAAAAATAATATTAATATTAAAATTAAATAAACACTTAATTCTTCAATTCAAAACTTAAAAGAAAAATTAAATAATTCCTACTAAGTAGGGTGTGTCTTAAAACAAGTCATTGAAATAAAGTAGAAGTACCTAGAAATTAGTAACTAGGTCAAACACATGTCATTATAAATATCCTAACTACATTTCTAAACTACTTCATTAATTGTTAATTAGCAAATAAGTAGGGTGTGTCATAAAACAAGTCATTGAAATGAAGTAGAAGTTCCTCAAAATTAGTAACTAGGTCAAACACCTATCATTATAAATATCCTAACTACATTTCTAAACTACTTCATTAATCGTTAATTAGCAAATTAAACCCTAATCAGTGCAAAAAAAAACCCTAATCAGTATCAGTTTGTTTGAACATTTTCCTTCCCTCCACGATATTCTTTCTCTCAGAACAATCAGTCTTTGGGCTTCTAAAATTTTCTTCCTTTTTCATTTCCCCCTTGTTTTCATGTAGTGGTGATTCGTGATTTTCCATGTTCTTGTTTTCAAGATTAGTAATGATATGATTTAATTCAAGATTTTGTAGTTAATTATTGTTTTCACTTGCTTCTGAGGTTTACTTATGATGAAATTTAATTTGAATTATGTATAGGGGAATACAATTTGTTAAGATGGAAAGGAATGGAGTTTATTGTTTTACATTTGAGAAATCAAAGATATGTACATGTTTAATTATGTGCTAAACTTTTCAAACTTTGTTAACTTTTTAGATATATTGAATCATGATTAGCACTTCGACGCCAAAGCGGAAAAAGTTGTCATTATCGAGTGAGGGTGATGTTGGCAAAAGGCGAAAGCGTAGCAGGTCAGTATTACCCGTGGAAGAAGAAGAAGGAGAAGGTACTCTAGAGAAAGGTAGCGGGTTATTATTATCAGGGGAGGAAGATGATCAAAGAGATAACGCGGAAGGAGGAGAAGTTGCTCTAACGAAAGGTCCGTGGACAAAGGAAGAGGATGCAATTTTGGTGGATCATATTAAGAAGTATGGAGAGGGAAACTGGAATGGAGTCCAGAAGAATTCGGGACTTGCTCGCGATGGTAAAAGTTGTCGTCTGCGATGGGCGAATCACTTGCGGCCAGGACTGAAAAAGAGTGCATTTACTGCTGAAGAAGAACGCCTAATCCTTGAGTTCCACTTTCGGAAGGGAAGCAAGTGGTCTCAAATGGCTGCAATGGTTTGTAATAACTTATCTTCTTTGTTTGCATATATCATGTTAATATTAATGTTTAGATGAATCACACAAAAAACTTATTGATATATATATATATATATATATATATATATATATATATATATATATATATATATATATATATATATATATATATATATATATATATATATATATATATATATATATATATATATATATATATATATATATATATATATATATATATATATATATATATATATATATATATATATATATATATATATATATATATATATATATATATATATATATATATATATATATATATATATATATATACTGTATTTATGACATTGAGAAGGAATTTCTTGTGGAATATAATATCATTTTTCTCAATCTGAATGCATCGTCAAATGATGATTCGGATAAATCTTACTTTTGATCATCAAGTTATTGTTCCTGGACAGTATTACTTGGATGTTTTCTGTCACTGAGCTTGTTATTTACTTATTCTTTCGAGTATATTTGCCTTGCTTAATTCTCTTTCTTTTCTTTTCAGTTGCCGGGACGAACAGATAATGAGATAAAGAACTTTTGGTACGCAAGATATAGGAAACAACAACGACTTGGCTTACCAATCTATCCTAACGAGATAACATCCAAATATTCGTCAAATGGAAGTCAAGAAAATGCTGACACATTAGCAAATGAATCCAGCCAGCGTGATGAAACAGAAAACTTCAACTTGGATATACCTGACTTGGACCTTAAAAATTTCAGATTCCGCCCAGATATGTTGCCGCCAAATTTAGGTACACAAGATTACAGACCAACAAGTGACTTGCTTGGACGGTGCTCAGATTCGTATCATAATACCTTACCCATGCGTAGGGCAGCAGTAGTGCGGTGCAGATATTTAACCAGTAGCAATAGTGCTGCTGTCCCGGAAGTATTTGATCAGTATGGCAAATATCCTATGTTGTCTACTCCATGTGATCCGATTCTTAACACATGCCTTCTTCATGGATATGATAACTGTATAACTGGTTTTCATGCCGCGCCTAATATTTCTTCTTCTGAGCCCATATATGGGCCCATGAGTTTTGAGCTCCCTTCATTCCAAAATTCACAGACTCAATGGTCTACCTGGAGCGGCATGCATATGCCGCCACTTTCCTCATTTGAGCCTGTTGACACGCCGGTTCAGGCTCCTCCGATTGAGCCTTGTCTGCCAGTTCCAGCTTCCCTGGGTTGCAGTCATTTAATTGATTCATCAGTATACCACAATTCAAATCAAAATTTGAAAGGCCCGAGTATTGATTCATTACAAGCAAATGCTGATGGCACGGCTCCCAATGAAGCAGACATTATTAGTACACAATGGAATGGACTAGATTATGATCAGCCTGCTGCTTTAACTACTCACCCCCAAATAAACTTCTTAAGATGGGCCTGCCACCCAAGAAACTTCTTAAGATGGCTCTGCTCAGAAATTGAAACCCCTCAGGGTTAGCATCATATTTCTCAATATCACTGCCATTTCAGTTGTAATCATGAACTATCATCATGACCTTTTATTTAACGATTCTATTTCACTAATTTAGTTTTCCCTATTGTGTTTGGCAGATTATGATATTAACGGTGGTGCATTGAATGATCAGCTTCCAGCTTATCGTTCTTTTGACAAACAAGATAATTTGAATCAGAAATATGTGGTGCTACCAGATGCTGTGCTTGACTCTAGCTGGCATTGAGTAGTATAAATGATGATCAATGTGTGGTTGTAACTTGTGTATTTGCTTGATCAAAATTTTGCTGTTCTGATTAACATTCATCATCTTATGATTAGAGTTTTTCTTTTTTTCATTTGTCCAAGAGATTTCAACTTGTTGAATGTTATGAAAGTACTATGCAGTCTTCCATTTGAACATTCTGTTGTTTCCACAAGTCACCAATAATCACTATAACTTCCAGGGCCGAATTTAGGCAATCAGATCCGTTGCACACAGTATTTGAATATGAGTATTATTTTCAATTTTGTTGTGAAAAAGGATGTCAAAGTATATCAGGTTTTTTCTCGGCAAGAAACTCATAAGAAAGAGGGAAGTAAAAAGAATACAATGAAATTGGTTACAAACTATTATTTTTTACTTTTTTTTTTAAAACAAAATTACAAGTGTTACATAAAAGCAAATAATTTCTCTGATCCTAATTAGAATTTGCAGTGTTTCAATAATGAGAGACTATTATACTATTTATAAGAAAAATAAGACACTAAAACTTATGAGCTTTTACACACAAACTCATTACGAGCTAACTTAGGGAACAAGCTAACTTAAACAATTAGACATAACAAATAGGTCCAATTCGAAATGCTAATAAACCTAGAAAATATCGACTAATGCATGTTAGAATAACTTCGACTATAACACGCGTTATTTCGACAGTAACATGCAAACAAGCTTCAACCTCATGCTTAATTCCTGTCGAAGCTACCCCTTCGACCATAATAGAGTTCAATCCAATATCTCACAAATCTTCACCTTGGAACAAACTCTATAACATCAAGGAAATAAACTAACTTTCTTCATGCAGTTTTATCAATTGCATACAGTGAAAAATTTGTCACTTGGCAAAGTCTTGGTGATCATATCAACAACATTGTGATATGTCGAAACCTTCAGCACTTAGACTTCTCCATGTTCGATTATCCCTCTGACGAAATACAACCTCATATCGATGTGCTTTGTTCGCTCATGATAGGTTGAATTCTTCTACAAGTGTATTGTACTTTGACTATCACATTTAACAATGATAACTCGAACTCTAAGTTTTATATCTTTAGCAAAACCTTCAAGCCACAATATTTCTTTCACAACTTTAGTGAGGACAATATATTCTACTTCAGTGGTTGATAAGACGACAACCTTATGAAGTATCGCTTTCCAACTGATTGTTGAGACAAACATAGTAAACACATATCCAGAAATAGATTTTTTGGAATCCATACAACCTGTATAAGTAGAGTCAACATATCCCTCGATTACTGCTTTATTATCTTCACCACAGACTTCACCATAAACTAGGACTATGTTCAAAGACCCATTTATGTACCTTAGAATCCATTTCAATGCTTACCAGTGAGCCTTTCCAGGATTCTCCATGTACCTGCTTATAAGACTTATTACATATATTATGTCGGATCTAGTACAGACTATAACACACATCAAAGAATTTACTATGTTAGTATATAGGATGTTATTCATATAAAATCTTTCAACCTTAGTACTAGGACACTGATCTATATTCAGCTTGAATTGAGGGTTTGTCAGAGTCACAACAAGCTTTGAATTCGACATGCCAAACTTTTCGAGAATCTTCCGTAGGCATGCCTCTTGAGATAAGTATAATTTCAATTGCTTTCTATCTCTTCGAATGTCAATCCCAAGAATCTTGGATGCAACTCCCAGATCCTTCATGTCGAACTCCTTACTGAGTTCATCATTCACTTTCATTACATGCTCGACATTGTTACTTGCTATGAGAATATCATCCATATAAAGCAACAAATAACAAATGAATTTCCAAGTTGAAATCTGAACTAAACACAGTGGTCGAATTGACTTCTAATGAAACCTATATGTGTCACGAACTTGTCAAATCTCATATCCCACTGTCGAGGAGATTGTTCTAGACCATATAATGACATGTTCATCTTGCACACATAATCTTCCTTTCCCCTTTGTGCATACCCTTCAGATTGCTTCATCAAGATTGTTTCATCTAGATCTCCATACAAGAAAGCAGTCTTCACATCTATCTGTTTCAGCTATATGTAAAATTGTGCCACCATGGCAAGTAACATCTGAATAGACATGTGCTTCACAACACGAGAAAACACATCATTGAAGTCGGCACCTTCTTTCTGAGTGAAATCCCTTGCGTCCAATATTTTCTTGTATCTCTTCGACGTCACTCATTTGATTCCTTCCTTAACTTTGAAAATCCACTTACAACTGACTAACCTGGATCCAATAGGTTTCTTGATGAGTTCCCATGTGTGATTATCATGAAGAGATTTCATCTCATCATCCATAGCCTTCAACCATTCAGTCTTATTTCGAATCCTCATGACTTCCATATATTCTCTAGGATCTTCATCTAGAACCTCACTTGTAGAGATTAAGACATAAGCTATAAGATATGCATACTAAAGTCTCTGAGGTAGACTGATGACTTATCTCGGCCTATCTCTTGCCAACAAGTAGTAATTGACAATTTCCTTAACTTCCTCAGTATCTTTAGTATCTTGTGCTTTTTCTTCGACTTGATATAGGATACACAATTCAACATCAACATACTCTACCTTAACATGAATCTCTTCCTAATCCATATCTTCTTCAGATATCTCTGCACTTTGACCAACATCATCAGTTTTCTTGAAAGCCATCTCAGCTTCATTGAAAACTATGTCTCGACTTGTGATACACCTCATGTAACCTGGCTCTAGGAACCATAGCCTATAAGCTTTGACTCCTTTAGAGTATTCCATGAACATGCATCTCAAAGCTCTAGGTTCGATCTTGTCTTGCCTAATATGATCATAGGCTATGTAGCCAAATACTCTAAGTTTGTCGAGATCTTGTGGATGTCCCGACCAAACTTCTTCAGGTGTCTTCGTATCTAATGCAGTCAAAGGACATCTATTTATCTTATATGATGTCGAAAAAGGTTCTCCCCAAAACACCTTCTTTAACCCAGCACTAGTCAACATGCATCTAACTCTTTCCAAAATAGTTTGATTAAACCTCTCAGCCAAACCATTTTGTTAAGGAGTACCTGCAGTAGTTTTATGTCTTGCAATACCAGGGGTTGCACAAAATTTATGGAACGCCTCATTGTAAAATTCAAGGCCATTGTCAGTTCTCAACCTCTTGAACTTTCTGCCTGTCTGATTTTCGACCAAAGTCTTCCAACTTTTGAAATTCTCAAAACTTAGTCTTCTTAATGAATACCCACAATTTTCTGGAATAATAATCAACTATGAATAGAAATATATTGCTTCTTAATGTGATGGACACATTGCTAGCCCCCAAAGATCAGTATAAATGTAAATAAATGAATAAAAAATTCAGCACTGACTGCCACGTCACTAAAAATAAATCTCGCTAACAATATAGGGTTATTTTCATAAACAAGAACAAATATTTTTCTAATTAATGCCAGAACAAAATTAATATTTACATACGGGAAAATATACGATTGATCAAAATATTTGTATGTATTGAAAAACTACATTTATGTTACAAATATAAATGAAAATATATTTTTCTTTTAAAAATGATAATTTTTTTAATTAAATAATTTTATATTTTTCACTCTTATTATATTTTAAATCCAAATGCGCGTAACACATCAGTCTATGTGAAATATAAAAGTAAATATATTTAAAATAATATATAAATTCAAATATGGAAAAATATATTGTTTTTTAACTATATTACTAATATTTTTATTTTAAAGTTACTTTTAATTTAAGATACAATATAAATTAAAATTAAAATGTGTCTTTTTTATTTTAAAATAATAAACTCTTTTTTTAACACATGAGTCCACTTTTACTCTCATCTAAGTTGGTTTTCTATCTTTTTGTAAAATTGATTGATTCATTTTTCTTATATGAACGTGTATATAATGCAATTTGAATTGATGAATTAATTCATTTATCTTTTCAAATTCACCGTTAACTAATTATATTTTAGATCATCTTTTAAAACTTCTGTTGTCAGGTTATGTTCATACATTATCTATCGTTTTAATTATTTTTAACACGTTACATTACTTATTTTGATCCCGACTTATGATCAAATATTTGTATATATTGATCATTATAGGTATGAGTTGATTATTATTTTTAAAAAATAATAAACTCTTTTGATTCATCAATATTGATTTTATTTCTTTTCATTCTTATTCAATTTCGGAAACAAGTACACGTGCGAACGCACGGGTATCCCGCTAGTTTGTAGAATAACAAACGCCTCATGATGTGAAATCCACCCATTTAAAAATTAAATTCTAAAATATCAACTATTGACAGAAAAATTGAATGAGAAGAAAAAAACTCAGTCAAAACTCAAAATTGCAAAATATAAAACAAAGACCAACAAAACCAAAAAATCAAAGGATATTCGGCTTATCAAATTTAATTCTCATTTTTTATAATTTTAGTTAGATAAATGTTTTACTTTTTTATTTTCCATTTATTTTCCTTAGTTGTTTTCTTTCTATTATTTCAAATAAATAAAAAGTGCAATAACAAATACCTCATCTGATTCTTGAAGGTGTTTTCTCATTGGTGAGGTATAGATCTGAAGTGGTCGAGTAAAGGTTCGATAGGTAGAGTTGGTGGTTTGATAACAATGTGGAAGAAAAATTTGTTTCAACAATCGTTCAGTTTTTGGGGAGACAATTTCTTGGGTGTTGTTGCTCTTTGAAAGGGAAGGATTTGTACTTGGTGAATGTTTATTACTCGTGCGCTTTTAGTAATAAGAACAAGTGCTGAAAAGAGTTGGTGTGAGTGCATTATTCTCTTCTTAATTGTTTTGAATGATGTCAAAACTAAGTAGTACTAGCATTTGTACATCGTACATTTCTCTCTCTATGTCTAGGGTTGCATATTCATCTTAGAACACTCATAGAACAAGTCAAAAGCATTTGGACATGTCAAAAATATGACTTTTCATGAAAAACT